ATATTTATTGTTGTTTTACTGTGAACCGCCCAGAGTCACTTCTTCGTGAGATGGGCAGTATATAAATTTGAAATATAAATAAATAAATTCCTTTCCTGTGGATCTGCAGGTGGCAGCTTCATAATTAAAGGTGAAAGAGAAACAGGGAAGAGGCAGATGCTCTATAGTCTAGTTTGCCATGATTAGAAGTAGAAAGTTTATACTGTGCACTGGTACACAAACACTGCTGGACGGGTTCTTTAAAAATAATGGGTGCTTCTGTGTTCTAGTCCCCAAAGTATATTTTGTTGAGGGCAGAGAGGCAGTGACAAAGCCTAAGTCTTCCTACGCCCTATTTCTCAAACTTCAACAAGGATATTGTGAAAAACAAAAAAAGGAGACCATCAGAAGGAGTGAGAAATGAACTAATTTAAACAGAAAGAACCCCCTTTTTAAAACTTCAGGGGAGAGGAACTGTTTCATGGGGAATGTGAAGATACAGAATAGAATATATTTCCTAAGAGCATCTATTTTATTACCCTGTTGTCCAACCTTTCTTGACATTCTTTAGTAAAAACTTGGAAGCAACTTTTTCCAACTCGGCAGCAGTTGCATTCTGACCACTCCTAGAATTATGTATGTCCTTATATATGTTTAGGGTCAAGGTAACAGAGTTAGAATGGGAAATGATACTTGGGAAAACAATAAGACACGTGGGCAGAGTTTTAGCGCTTATATTCCCACCCAAAAAACACCAAAGGTAGAAAGGAAATCAGTGTGGATGTTCAGGACTTCAGGGGAGGGGCATTTAAAAGAAGCAAAACAAACACATTTGAGGAATGTGGCTCTAAAGATTTGCCTCTACTTTACAGACTATGCATTAGTTCCATGTTGTCAAATATCTCAACATGGAAAAAGTCATAAGCTGATGAACTTCAGCCTATTTTTGTTGACTGCAGTGATACCAATTATTTCTACTACGTTCAAACTGCCTGCCAAGCCTCATATCTTGTTACAGAAATTGCACGCAATACGTTCAAAAAGCTCTGGCATTCACACACATCCTTTCCTCTAACAAGCTATTAATTATGTCAAGAGCTGGAAGGATCAACCAAACCTCCAACTCTGTTGGCATGGTCACAAGCAGGAAAAGTTTCATGACAAATCTTTGCCAAGCCAGTACCTTTTCAACAATCCAGGAAAAAAGATAAGGGAAGGGGAGAGTCATATTTCCAAAGAAGAGTATTTGCAGTCTTTCCTTCCTCCTCATTAGAAGTTCATGCATGAGCCAGAAAGAGCAGAACTGGGTAGAATCAAAGGGAAAATCCTTGTACTAAACAACAAAGCAAATTCTTGAGCAAACGTTCAGGAGAACGCAATCAGCCCACCCGTACAATTGTTGTCTCATGGGCCCACAAGGAACACCTTTTCTGGCAAAATATGAAACAGGCTTCACCAAGATGGCCCCTTCTGAATGGCAATGCTGGCTGGGAATTCTGGGGGCTGCAATCCAACACATATAGAGGACACCAAGCGCATGGAAGGCCAATTCAGAGCTAAACTGCCAAAGAACCAGATCTAGTGATAAACCATCCCAGCCTGGCTTAGTTCTGGCAATTGGATTGGTCTTGCTGGATTCTGCATTATATTTTAGTGTTAGAATCACAGTGCGTTTGTTTTTTTGCTATTCCTTTGGCTGATATTGGCTGCTAAAGAAACCTTAAATGAAATGAGATATCAGTGTGGGCACAAAATACAGGCTGGGCTGGATTAAGGGCCAAATGACCAGGACTGTTGGAAATTAACCTCAGCTTGCAAGACATTGGCACAGCTATACAAGCATTACTAGAGAACTGAACACCCCACCTATCTTCCTTGTCACATCCCCCCAAAAGAAAGGTTACGCCTTTGTTTCTAGCCGGAAAATATGCATCTTAAACTCTTCCGCCTTGGGTGACATTTCACGCTCAGGCAACAATCCCCAGCATGCCCAGAGGGGTGGCATGTCTCTGTGTAGCCAGATTGTTCCAGCCAACTGCTTATGACCCACAAAATGGGTACTGTTAACCTTGCAATATTTCAGAAGAACAAGCCTGCCCATCTAGCATATAACCACAGACTTCAAAATCCTGGGCTCCATGAACAGGGCAAATGCTATGGGCATTACCTCATTTTTTTCCTCTGCTTTGTTCTAAACTCCCAGTGCTCAAGGCATTTGTCAGGAAAAGGGAACCTGTAAGCCCATGCTATGGACAGACTGGTAAAAGCGCCACCCAGAATGGCAAGGTCAGCTATGGCAGGCTTATATTTAAGGGGCCCATTCATCAGACAACAGCGAAGTGCCATTATGTTTTGCATCCTATCTTTTGGGAGAGGAAACTTATGAATAAAATAAACAAAACTGAAATGCAGTCATAAAAATTACAGTATTGGATCACAGCAATTCCTCAGGAATGGAGGTTCCAGTCAGGGGTCAGACAGCCCAACCACAATAGGTGCAGATGCTGTGCAGTGTCAGTTAATCTTTCCACACTGGATGTCAGGGGAGATTCTGTGTCTTTCCCAGGACAAACTGCATTGCAGCTGTGATGTTCTGCCTTCTTCCTCCAGTTTATGCTGGTGGTGGAAAAATTAGTAAGGGATTCAAAAGCAAGAAGAAAGAATTAGACTTCTGCCCTTACTTTCCCCAGGGGAAACATGCCTGAGAGGATCCAGAAGGGAAAGATAAATGCAAGACAGCATTACATCTACAAGCACAAGGTTGGGCTGGCAAGATTGGGGCCAAAGGTGTGGGATGTGTAGCAAACTCACTGCCAAGTCTGTGTAAAAGACAGAGCAGCTGCTAAGATGCCAAGGCGGAGCTGAGTGACCAACCTACTAGCAGCCTCATCTTGTTTCCATTCGTGGGGGTGTCCTGAAGGTTTGGAATCTAAGGGGCAGTGGAAATCGGAGCATATCACCTCTTCACTGCAAAGGCAGCAGGCAAAGGTGAGCAGAATATCCCAGCAACATGTCCTTTTCATGGCATTCCCCCCTCCCACCCCTTCAAACGACAATGTTACTTCCATACCAACATGAGAACAACAATGAGAACGAAAACTAACATGCAAGAAAAGGAGGGGACTGCAATTTGCTTACCACAGGATAAATCTGTAATTTCAGAAATACAGCTGCATTCAACCATCACCAGTGGACACTGTTCACTGCCTCTTAAGAAGCGCATTATCTTGCCTCAAACACATTATGCTAATAACCTTTTCACCTTGATGAACACAAGCAGAGGCTCTGAGTATGCAAGGCAGATAAGGGGGAAAAATCCATGAACTAAAGCACAGCTGGAATCCTTAATTTTATTTTCCAATTCATGGGCTTTTTAAGGGTCATAAACTCACAGTTCTAGACTTGCCAATTGCATACAGTTGGAACTTCTGCCTCTTTAAGCTTACAACTAGGATATACTGCTTAAAAACTGCATCCTTGCCATTCCTGTTAAGCTGTCTACAATCATTTCACCACTAACCATTTGTGTAGATCTAATTATCACTGATCCTGGAGAGAATCTGTGATTGTGAAGAATCAACGCCAACTTGATGGCACATAATCAACCAATCGTCACTGAAGAATACCACCAACTGGGCTCCTACTGCAGGCACTTGCCAAGGCAAATAAGGTATTTCATGTCTACCCCGAATCCCCATCCTGAGACCCCCCCCGACAGAAACAGCCAGCCCTTATCTCTAAAGCAACCCAACATATAACATATGTTTCAGCCAGTTTCAAAGCAATGCTTCTCTCACAACTCTGTATGTTTGTGTTTTCTTGTAACTGACAAGGCATTTTCTTCCCCCCACAATCAGATTTCTTATGCTTCGGATGAATGCATACATTCACAGGTGTAAAGCTGATACCGAAATGCCACTTGTTAAAAGGGGTTGTTCACTGCAAGAGATAAAACAGGTGAGCCAAGAGAAAATTGTTATACTGAAAGACTCATTAAAAAAAAAAAAGTGCAGGGGCCACCCAGAAATACAAACTCACCTGGACATCATACAGGGCAACAATGTTTTCATGCTGCAATTCCTAGAAAATAAAAAACAAATAGTTCAGAGAAATCTCACAAAGTCAATCCTGGGAAGAGAACAACCATTCAAAAGGCAGCTCTGTAAGGGGTTGCTAACACCTTCTTTCTGTGTACAACATCTATGTGCCCCTCCCCCACAAGCTAAACTTTATTTTTCCTTGCAGTCTATCCTCACCTCCTGAACGGCATTGCTCAGAGATAAGAGAATTGCTTTCAACCAGGTGTGTCTACACAGAAATATGGTGTTGAACCTTAGGACCAGCCATGGCGTGGCAATGGCCAACTTAAAGCCAATTCATTTCCAAACTCATTATCCGATATTCCAGTATTTTGTTGTTGTTGTTTTACTGGGGGGTGGACTTAGACAGAACAAGCTAGGAGACAGGTGGTTTATGGGAGGGGCCCAGAAGAAAAGCAAAAGACAAACCAGTAGGGGGAGGGGGGTACAAAGAACAGTAATTCAGGGAGGTCAAAACAGCAAGGCAAGCAGTCATAGAACCTCTAACCTGGCCCTCTGACAAGCTGCCTTTTCTCCTTCCCTTTATGATAATTAAAGTTTATCCCCTGTCCTGTATTTCCCACTGAGGCCTAAAGTAAAACTTATTAACTTGAAGATGACTTTTTTAAAAGCAGGGAACACTGATCTAAATAGCATATACACAACCCATGGTTCTACCAATATGCTGCCATAGAACTATTCCCACAATGTTTTTTCCTGGAAACAATATGTGAGGTGGCCACCGAACTTCTAGTTCTGCAGGAGGATCCACTGCACCTGTTCTTAGTCCCCATCAGAAAAAACAATGACCTCAGATGACTCTGCCATGGGAGGAGGTTCATCTGGGACATCTTCTGCCTGGGAACCAGGAGGTTCTCTCTCAATGCAGGGATAATATGCTCCTATCATGAGCCAAGATATAGTGGTTGCCAAGTTTTCAACCAACCAAACCTTCTGATGTCTTCCAAACCAGCCCCATGTTAACTAGACCAGGAATGGCTTGCCAGAAACAGGCAAACAACTTTCTTGGAAAAGTTGACTCACCGAAGCAAAGGGCTCTAGGGTATGTCCAAGTAAGATACTTTTACAGATGTAGAGTTTCCTTTCTTGATTTTTGTAAACAAAGAGAGCAGACATTTTAAGTCACCAACGCCCTTTAGATCTTTTTGAAGAGATGGCTTACTTCAAGTTTTATTATTCTGATAATGAAATACAAATGCTCTGAAATAAGGACGCAGAGTAGCCTTTTATTACTTTGTGATAACTAACCTTCCCCAACTCAAAGTAATTGGGGGAGGGAGGAACTGAAGCCAACTTGCTGATCAGTGGAGGAATCCAAAATAAAGCATCTGTGGCAGATGTTGATTATCTTTGGCTTGAACTTATCCAGTGAAAGGACACCCAATACTTCTGAATGCCTTTGTGAACATTAGTGACTACAATCTCAGCCAACATGGCATCAAAATCACAGCCAGACAACCATTTGGGTCCAAAGTTCTGAATTTAGTGCAGAGGCTGGGTCGCTATCTACATGATCTGTTCCCCCAATGATCTAGAGCGAATAGTTCTGGAGAATCAATTATCTTCAGCAGTTCCTGGGAATGGGACACAGCCTTGCTCTGCTCCTTCTCAGAGATCTGCTTCAAATTGTTGATTCTCAACTGCAAATGGCTACAAGAAAGAACAGCAATTGCCCCTGCCCAACAACAGTCCCTCAACTGCATGACAGGTGGGAACAAAGAGACTGGTTGTGGTTTCTAATAACGTTAACACTGCAAGAAGATCTAATTGGCAAACAATATTTCACAAGTTCATTATAACATAAAATACTTGTTATACTAAAAATTTTTTGCTGACACTCCCACCACACTTCACACAAGAAAAAATGAGGGAAAGTGCCCACAGTGCTGGTTTGTGGAAGCAGGGATGGAATTATAACCTGAATAAAATGTTCAGATGGTCTTAAAGCAGACATCACAGGAGTTGAACCTACAAGGAATCAACTCATAATTAGCTACCTCAGCTGTTTCCCCAAGCTTGTGACCCCAGCTATGGACTTCAATTCTCATATTCACCAGCATGTGTGGGAGTCAAAGCCCCACCACATCTGGAAGGCATCACATTGGGAAAGTTTGAGGGAGGGGTCCATGCAGATTTCTGCGAAACTTCAGTGTTGTGTAAGAGGCAACTGGAAGATGTGGCTAGAAAGGGCATACTGGGGGCAAAGGAACAATTCCTGCATGCCAAGTCTCAAAGCATCAGAAACAATATGAGCTAAACAGACCAAGAGTCTGACCTGGAGAGTGCAGCTTCCAGGGTTCACACAACCCCTTGAGGCTGGAGAAAGAACCACCTTACAGTTGGGCTCACGCAGCACACTCAGCCACAATGCAGTTAGCCAGATCTTATTTAGGCAACCATAATTAGCTGGATTTGGAGAATACGTTTAAACAGAAACCATCATTAACAAACTCAAAATGGTTGGGTTGATGTGCCATGGTAAGCCCTGAAGAAGCAAACTACATTATGGTATGGCATGTTGTCTGAACTCAGGCATTAAGCTTGTCTTCTAAAGAACTAGCTGGAATTAAACATATTCCTCTTAAGCCCTAGTTTGCTTAGATGGGCTTAACATTTACAGCCTGTTTTGGGAGTGTTTTATGAGTAAACATGGGGGAGCAGCTTCCTTCCTTTTCCAACTCTTGAAATATCCCCTCCCCCTGAAAAACACTGCAAAAACATGCTTCTGAAATTTGGCCATTTTACTGCCAAATTTTGGCATTATTCTCTTGGGATGCTCTAAACAGGTTCCCAGGGGCTCCATGTGGCCTGCTCACCTTGGCCATAATCCATGGTTTCTAAAACACAAGTCCTGGTTTCACAGGACACACAATGCCAAAACCAAGCAAACTCCATTATGTTTTGGTATCACATATGAACTCAGTCTGCCTGGGATCATAAAAGCAACCTCTTCAACAGAACTCAGGCTGGCTTGGTTATTCTCAGAAGCTGCAGCTACAGAAGCAGCAAAAAAACCAACAATACCCTAGCCAGAAACTGTGGAACTGAGTGCAGAAAGAAAAAAGGCAACCCAAGCCTCACAATGCACACGCCCGTATACTTATCCCAGGATAGAAAGTGACAAAGACACCGCTCTAACAATGGACACAATGCTTCTCCATCGGGAGTTCTTCAGCCCAAGAGCTAGTGCAGAAGCAAGAATGGGAGCAGCTCAAAATGTCAACATCTCCTCTCTACCCTTGTGCTTGATGGACACCCAGAAAAACAGAAGGGAGTTTACCATCACAATCCTTATCCCAGTCTAACTAGATACAGTCTAGCCTTGATGGGTAGTTCTTCAAGATCTCCAGCAAAGGTATTTCCAGTCCCTTGAAACCTGATCCTTTTAGCTGAAGAGGCAGGGGACTGAACCTGGAACTTCCCTGCATACAAAGTGCATGCCTCACCACTGAATGTAGACTTTCCTATTATCTTGGCTGCTGAATTTACAAGGATTCTGCATCCTCCAGAAGAAATAAGTTAGAAGCACCATGCATGGGCAAACATATTGTGGTTTGTGCTGTCAGCCTCTACGCTGCTGCCAGATCTCTGTCATTGGCCAAGCATCTCTAATTCAGAAATTTCCAACACAGAACTCACATTGTTCCTTTTTCCTTGGTTAGCATTTTGCGTGAAAAAAAAGGAAAAGCCAGGGCAACAGAAGTATGAAAATTCCACACCATTCCTGAAGTCCTCACCCATCTATTCCAAACCAAGTTGAAAAGAGAATATAGTACAATGAAAAAGCAAACCAAAAGGCCCTCAAATAAAGGTTAGTCTATATATACATAATCTATATAAATAAAGGTTAGTCACTGTGCCCAGTGAAATCTAAAGCTAGGAACATAGATGCTGATTCTTCTGGGCTAAGCAAGCTTTGCTAAATACCAATATCATGCTGGGCTGCTGCGACTGTTAGACCTTCCCATTTTGTTAGCATACACAGCATACAGTACCTTCAAAATTTTTATCTCCTTCCCAAGCAGGAGCTGTGACTTCGACAAATTCTTTTTGTTAATGCTCTTTATAGCCACTTCCCAGTCAGTTTTCTGAAAAGAGGGTGGAAAAGTGTTTTTAGTATAAACAAATTTTCTTATTTTCTAAACAGCCCCAACAACAAGCAGATCTGGTCTTTTTCTTAAAAGCTTTAAGATGCTTAAGATTCCTGGAAGAAGCTAGGAGTCCTCTTTTTCAACCTGGTCTACAGCTCTACAATCTATACTCTACAATCGCCAACACCGCCTAGGATAATGCCAGGCTGGGAAAAGCTAGTGTAAAGAGGACAATTTACAATCAGGACCACAGGCCCAAACTCTACCAGCATGCTACTTAAGCAGGAAGCACAGCTGCACATCCCAAAGACAAGAATGGGCAACAATAACTGAATTTTGCAGGGATGAGAGAACACTCACAACTTTCTCCTATCTTTGTCTTTGTTAGGATCAAGGCAATGATAAGCTTCAGCAAACACTAGACCTGGGTTCAAATGCTTAATAGGCAAGACCAGGGACCTCCTACTGTGCTAGATTAGTCAAGCAATGGTGCACCTTAAGAGACCTCCAGACCATCAGTTGTCTTGAACAGACTGCCTAGAAGCTCCCTGTCCCAACAAGATTGCAGTACAGTTTTGATGCCCAAAAGGAATAACAAAAGAGAGAAAAAGAAACCCCAAGTTGTTCAAAGTTACCCAAGAAAAAAGTACATTTGTGAAGATCCAAAACAGCTGTTAAGTCAAACTAGCAGATTCACAGAAAGACCTCTGAGAACAGTGACAGCTTGGCTCTGCAGCAGACAGAATGGAGGTCAATACTTAGGAAAAAAACACACCTACACCAAGAGCTTCTTGTAAAAGATGGCAAGAAAAGGGGGAAAGGAGCTCTTCAGAATTTGAGGACCAATTTGAAATTGGCCAATTCTCCATCAGATCCTCATTTTATCATGGCAGGAAAAAGCAACTGTAAAAAAGGGATAAAGAGGGGTTGCCCCCCTCTCCAACCACATATCAAATGGCTAGCATCTACCCAAACCGGGAACTTCATCCAAACATTTTGATAAGAGGAAAGGTTGGCACCCTGCTGCCTAACAGATCCTCTCAACTACAAAACCCATGATCCATATCTACCAGCCACACTAAAAGAGGATTACGGATTTGCCATTGGTGTGGATGAGAAGCGAGGAGATTGGGAGGGAATAGGGGGGAATAGGCAATCTGAGGCTGACATCATTCCATCCTGGCTCTGTTTGGAAAGAAAAACAAGCCTGGGATGCAAAGCAGCGGGGAGCACAGCTACTACACCCCTGCCAAAAAAAGAAGGGGGAGAGGAAAACCACCAGTTTCTGCGACAATACATCAAGCCTCTGAAAACACATCGCTCTCCATTCAAGGATTTACCAAAGTGTAGCAAACCGCATAAACCTAGCTAGGAAAACCAGAGAAAGGGCAGTTAAGGAGAAAGGCTTTCCAGGTGGATGGGACAGAAAAAGCAGAGGATCCAAGCTGCCCCCCCCCACAGCCCTGTAGCCCTCCACCGCCTCGATCATCACAAGGGGAGGGGAGAGCACGATTCCCTTCCCCAACTTTACCTTGCGGTGACGACCCTTAAAGACCACAGCGAAAGCTCCATGTCCTATCAGGTCCTTCTTGCTGTATTCAAAATCGCCCACCACCTCCATGTTCTTCAGGGGGCATGAAGCTCAAGGTGTTATGGGGGGCAGAGGGGGAAATGCAGGGAGGACAAGGATAAAGGGGAGGACAAATCGAAGCTCACATCAGCAGGCTGGGGGAGGGGAGGCACAGAGAGGGGGGCTGGCTCTGCCTGTGTCCTGGCCACCCCCAAAGAAATGGGGCACCTGCTGGCATGATGCTGAAATCCGGCAGGTGGCTGGGGGAAACTGGCCAGCTTCCCATAAGCAGTCAGTGTTTTCTGGCATGGGGGGAAGAAGAAGGGGGATTAAGCCTCTTTGGAAAAGAAAGCTGCAGAAAGAGCAAGAGGCAGTGGGCAAAAAGTGTCCCTTTAATAAACAAGCATTATTAAAGGGAAGGGTTCGAGGAAATTTCAAGCCAAAGGCTTGCTGGCATTGGAGGGGGACTGAGCACCTTCAGCAGGAGGTGGGCATGAGAAAGCCTGCCTTGTTTTTAAGAGAGGCACGGGAGGGGGAGCTGATCTAAGGTTGGGGAAGAACATAAAATCCCAGTACTTGCTGGGAAGGAGAAAAGGAAAAAAGCAGACTGTCATCCAGAGCCCCCTTAAAACAGGGGTGGGGGTCACATGCAGTTATAATAATGCCTCGAGGTAGGCTTATGGGGCCATAGAATAAAAAGGGGGCAATGAGAGTTTCCCAGGAGGGAAAGATGCAACTTTCCCCAGAAAGAGACAGATACTAGAAAACCCCGTTAATACAGGATGAGAGACTAAGATGCCTGCTTTTAGATGGGGGGGGGGGGACGGGGGGGTTTTTTTCTTTTTTTGTTGGAGGGAGGTTCTGGTGGGTAAGAG